AAAAAACAAAAAAAAAACCTGGCTGTGCCCACCAGCCCGCCCTCCCTGTCTCTGCGGGGCCGGGGCTGGGCCGGGAGGGGTTTGGGCTGAGGGCTGAGGCTGGGTAGATACAGAATGTTGCCTGACTGAGGACGGGGCAGGGGCAGGTGGAGCGGAGGAGGGAGAGGAATTTTCCTGGGATTCCTAGCTGTCCTTCTCTCTACCCATCTTGGGGTCCCTCGGGCAGACAAGCCGCTGGCTGGCCGGCTGGTCACTTTGCTACCTGTGGGTTTCCTTTCTCCGTGTCGCTCTGAGCTGCGGGAACTGTGAGCGGTAACCCCTCGGGGCTTCTTCCTGCCCCTGCCCTTAGTGCCCACCCCTGCCCCCGCCCCCCAGTAGCTAGTCCAGCCAGTCTGGGGAGTCGGAGCTGGGGGGGAGGGCCCTGTGCCCATTAACTCTCTTACTGCCTCCCGTCTAAGGGGCCTCTCGGCCTTTGTGCAGGGGACTCCGAACCCGCAGTTGCTAAGCAACGGGAGGTGGAGGTTGCTAAGGACAATGCCGTCCTGTCATAAGCCCTCTGGGCAAGTGAAGGAGAGATGGTCTGGGACTGCGAGTGTGAGGCTGGTGGCCTAGAACGTGGGAGGGACCACGCCTGAGACCCCAGCTCCCAACCTTTGAGGACTCCAGAATCCATCTGGCGGAGGGGCCGGGATTTACAGACTAGCACAAAGTGGTGAAAAGCGGTATAAAACAGGCTGGGATGCCTTCCTAACCCTCGCGCTGACTTGGTCTTTGACTTTCATGCTGTCTTTCTTGGGAACTTTGGGACAGCGCGGCTGGCAGAAAGGCATGAGTTTTCTCTCTGTCCCGAGTTGTTTGCTGCAAGGCAGTTCTCTTTTTTTTTCTTCCTTTTCTAGTGTTTATTTACTTTTGGGACAGAGAGAGACATAGTGTGAGCGGCGGGGGGCGGAGGGTCGAGAGAGAGGGGGACACAGAATCTGAAGCAGGCTCCAGGCTCTGAGCGGTTAGCACAGAGCCTGACGTGGGGCTCGAACTCACAAACCGCGAGATCATGACCTGAGCTGAAGTCGGATGCTTAGAAGTCGGATGCTTAACCGACTGAGCCACCCGGGCGCCCCAAGGCAATTCTCTTATTCTCAGAACACTCCACCCTCCAGGCCTCTCCCCTTTTTTCCTGCAAAACCTTCCTTGTGGTCACAGCTCCTGGGAAGCAGTAGTCCTCTCGCTTCGTGGTCCTTGGAACCTCTGAACACAGCAAGGAGCATCTCTTGAACTGTGTATGTGAGCTTGTACATGCACGTGCGTGTGGGTTCTCTGCCTTCTGAGAGCTGGAGAGAGCAGTCAGTGTCTCCCGCTTCCTTTACGCACCCCTGCGTGTGCGGGGCGGGGCAGGGCGCGGCGGGGGAGGGTCTGAAGCCCACCAGGCTGTGGCCCTGCGGGTGGAGGGTGGGCCTACGGGACTCAGGAGGACTCAGGACTGCCTGCCTGCCCCTGGCCATCTTCCTGTGCCGTGCCACAAGTCTAGCAGCCCTTATCTCCCAGAAAAGGGAGGGCACGCAGTATGCCTCCTTGAATGTTCAGATCCGCAGACATTTAGAACTGTTATCCGCTGACCACCAACACCCTGAGTGGGAACACCCTGGATGTGGTCAGTGCGGTGTGTCCCGAGCGTCACTTGATCCTAACCCCATGGTGCACTGGAAAGTGTTCCGCATCTGGAGGAAGAAGGCCTGACTTTGTCACTTACGAGCCGTGGGATTTTGGAAGGAAGCTTCGTGTCCGTCCTTTCCTCTCTAATGGATTTCCTGCGAGGATTAAATGTTACATGGTCCACATTCAGTGCTCAATATCCCTTCCTCTTCTTGCTTTTTTCATAGAGCTCGAAGATAACCTTAATGAGAAGTGGCTATCTTATGGAACTTAAGGGGACTTTGCACTCTGGGGTCGCAGGGCTCCGTGGCCACGCAGATGGGGGTTACGGAGGAATCCCGAAGGGGGTGTGTGTGGAAGGGTGTGATCGTGTTAAATATTTACCCGCAAGGCCTAGGCTTATCTCCTAGGTGGAGATTTCAACACCTAGCCCTGGAAACAGGTCCGCCCATCCTGGAGAGTTCACACCCCTGGACCTCATCCTTGGAAGGAAAAAGTCCCTTGCCTAAGACCACCACGCCAGCCTCAGCCTGTTCAGTCTCCTCTTCTTCCCTGACGGCACTAGATTATATCCCTACAGGCTTAGTTTATATTTCGGAAAGATCACCCTGGAGGTAGAAGGGAAGCAGGAGGACAGCTTCAGAATTTCTGGTATTCGGAAGGCCAGTCGGGGGCACCGGCTGGTTGTTGGGAGGGGGCACGTGCTCAGGGACTGTCTCAGAGCAGTAGTTGTTCCGTGTCAGCCCAAAGATTTAGAAAATCTCATTTGTCCACATCGAAAGTCAAGGTGTGGTGGGCTGATGAATGTAACGGAAGGTGGGCTCGGGGCCAGGAGGCGTCGGGGTGGGCTGTGGAGTAAGTCGAGAGATCCTCCGGGACCACACTAAGGTGACGACAAGACAAGGAACAGATCAGGGGGCAGAATCTCAAAGCCGCGCTGAACACGCAGACGTGGGCGGTGACGGAGAGGGGTCTAGGCAGTCCCAGGTGCTGGCAGGGCGGTGTGATGCGCGGTGGGGCCAGCCGCTGCTGGGGGTGGGCGGAGAGGACCTGCCACCAGGTAAGGGGAGGCCCGAGATCGAGTCCCGCTTCTGATTGCACACCTTGTGCTCATCCGTTTGTTCGGTATGTGAGCAGTGAGCCGCCCGCCTGCCCCGCGTCCCTTCCCCCCTCCCTCCCCAGCCAGATTTGTCTTAACCTCTTTTTCCGGATGAAACCCGAGTTGGCCAGTTTGCCCAAGGGAATACAACGCAGAGCTGGGCTCTGGGTCTCCCTGGCTCCCGAGTGTGGGCCTCTCTCACTAGGCGGCACTGCCGGTGACCCCCGAAGCTGTGTGGGGAGGGGGCCGAGGGATGTGGGGGGCAGCCTCAGTCTGAACCTGGTGGCGTAGTGGATGCTGACGGAGGGTGGGCGTGAGTGTCTGCCTGTGCTGTGGCCGTGTGGCTTTGTGGAGCTCCGTGTGGCCAGTCAGCCGGGGCCCCGGGTGCCCTGGGGCGTGAAGGGATGGGGTGAGGAGGCTGCTGACCTTGCTGCCTGGCTGGGCTGGACTCTGGCCACCCTAAGGCGCTTAGGCCGTTGATAATAGCCCCGAGGGATTAGGGGCTTTGGTAGGCGAGGTCTGGGTCCCTGCTTGGGCCCCAAACACTGCTGAGGTTTCCAGGGCCAGTGCTCTGGCGGGAGGGGTCCTCCAGGAGCCATACGTTGCCCCTCCGAAGCGCCCAGGGCTGGGGCAGATCCTGTAAGACTCACGAGGAGACTAAGTGTGGCTCTTAATTTTTTTTTTTTTTTAAATGTATATGTATTTTTGAGAGAGACAGAGACAGAATGCGAGTGGGTTAGGGGCGGAGAGAGGGAGACACAGAATGCTCCAGGCTCCGAGCTGTAAGCATAGAGCCCGACGCGGGGCTCGAACTCACGAACCGCGAGATTATGACCCGAGCCCAAGTTGGACGCTTAACCGACTGAGCCACCCAGGCGCCCCTAAGTGTGGCTCTTAAACCGCCCTTCTCCCAACGGTCCTTGAAGCCACCTGCGGTTCAGTAGGATGTCTTGTGCACCTGCTACCACTCTGGGTTTCTCTTGGTCTAAACTGGATCTCAGCTGCTAAAAGGCAGGAGTGATCCGGGGCTGAATGGAGGGATCTGCCCTCGGAGACCCCAGCCTCACCCGTGTCTCTCCGGTCCCCGCTGGATCACGGTGACTGGAGGAGACAGGGCCTCGTTCTTGACCTCTGAGAGTAACCAGCGTGACCAGGGTTTGGGGCTCCTCCCCCAGGGCGAGTCCGGCTGCAGAAGGGGGCATCTCTCCGGATTGAGGGGCTCCGAGCGGAAGACCAGGGCTGGTACGAGTGCCGAGTGCTCTTCCTGGACAAGCACAGCCCTGAGGACGACTCTGTTAACGGCTCCTGGGTGCACCTTACAGTCAATTGTATGAGCCTGGGGGCGGGTGGGGGGGGGCCGCGTGATGAGGACCTTTGAGGGGGGTGGTTCCGGGGCCCCACCCTCGCTGACACTCCGGTTTGCTGGCTCACTGTCTGCATCTTGCCCCTCCCACCGCCACGCCTGCCCTCCAGTGTTGGAACTTCCTCTGTCTTCCTGCACCCGGGCACCACGAGAGGGAATGTAGGGGCTGCCGGGCCCTGAGCGAAACACGGCTCACGCATGAGACGGCGCTTGCCTTCAAACACCTTTTCACCCAGGACCTCATGAATTCTCTGTCAACCCTCAGAAGGCTAAAGGTCAGAATCCTTCCTCACAGATGGGGAGACTGGATCCTGCCGCTGCCTAGGGGCAGAGCGGAGTCTGGACCCAGGCCTCCGACTTCAGAGCAGAAAAGCAGGGGCTACTCAGCACTTCTGCCTGACACTTCCTGTGCATGTAGCCCCAGCTGCTAAGTCCTGAGGCCAGTGGGATTCCGGGCTGGTGCCACCTCACTCTGGCCTGAGCTCAGCAGGCAGGCCTGGGCTGGGGACCCTGGCAGTGGGCCGGCTGGGTGGGCTGAGGCCCGCAGCCCTTGACCGGTGTCCCTGTTTTGACTGAGAGCTCTGGCATCCCTGATGCCTCTCTCTGCAGCACCCCTCAGTTCCGGAGCACCCTCCCAGGTGCTGAAGTTCAGAACTGGTTGTGACCCCATGCTAGGCCCAAGGGCAGCCCACAGCCTCATGTGACTTGAAGTCCAGGACAGGATTCATTGTGGCCAGCTTGCGTTATCCTGGCCAGCCATGTATCTGAGGGTGAGGGGGCGGCTTGGGGCGGGGCTTAGAGGCCCAGGGCCAAAGGCCGAGCTGAGACTGGCCAGGAGGGACGCCTCACTGGCTTCCTGAGCCTGGTGCCACTTCGCTGGCCAGACTGGAAGCGCAGGGTCTGAGGCCCGCGGAGGAGGAAGGGAGGCAGGGGCGGGCGGGGGGTGGGGTGGGGAGGAGGAACCTTCCCTCCTACCCTAGGTGCAGAATGACGATCCGGCGGGTGAACAGGCCGGGTGCCTGGGTCTACACTCAAGCCCAGCACCGAGGGGCAGTGCCTCCCACTACCCAGCTGCTGCGCTAGGTGCCCTGGTGGGGCGCCATGGCCGAACTAGGACCTGTGGGGGGGCCCCACTCTGTGGCTGGGGTGCATGTAGCAGAGAGACACAGGGCGGAGAAAGGGAAGCTACCAATGGTGGCTGGTGCTCTGAAACCACATCTCTCTCTCTAATTTTTTTTTAATGCTACTAGTTTGAGAGAGTTCAGGCAGGAGGGGCAGAGAGGGGAACAGAACTGGGCGAGTTTGGCGCCGATACAGCAGGAGCCAGGATGGGGGCTCAACTGCGAGGATCACGCACTCCGAGCCGGTCGACGAATCAGCCTGGAGCCACCCAGGCTCTAAAACCAGCATCTTAATTTATTTAAAAAAAATTTTTTTTCAACGTTTATTTATTTTTTGGGACAGAGAGATAGAGTACAAACGGGGAGGGGCAGAGAGAGAGGGAGACACAGAATCGGAATAGGCCCAGGCTCCAGCCATCAGCCCAGAGCCTGACGGGCTCAACTCACGGATCATGATCAGGACCTGGCTGTGGACGCTTGAATCACTGGCCACCCAGGTCTTAATTTTAAAAGGAGCAGTGAATGGGCCCAGCAGGGTGTAACCCTCACTCCCCAAGGTTCTCATCTATATATAAAGAGGTTCATATCTACATTTTAGGACTAGGTTAAGAATTTAATCAGGTTCAGTTGAGTACAGTGATCAGCACTTAGTAACTCCTGTCCGAGACCTTCTGAAGTCTAGAAGAAAAGCTAAGAGACGGCCTGGACTCTGCCTTCGGAGAGCCTCTTCTAAAGGGAAGGCAGATGAGTTAGTGAAGTGTCACTTTTCCCTGGTTCTGTGGGAAGGCAGCGCTGAGGAACTGTTAAGGGCCAAGCCCGCCAGGGTCAGGACGGCCTGAACGAGTCTTGCCTACCCTGCTAACTTTGGGCCCTCACTTCTCTCTGCCTCTCGGCCTCCACTGCTTCATCCGTGGAGACAGTAATTCCTGGCACAGAAGGCTCTTGTGAGGATTAAAAGAAATGGTGCAGGGAGGTGCTCAGCGGAGCGCCCCGCATGTCTGTCGTGTTCTATAGGCCCCCCGGCTCGGATCGTCACCTCCTATTCCCGACGACCCAGGCAGCGGAGCCCGGGGAGGGGAGAGAGCAGTGGGGTGGTAGAAGGGAGAGACGGATTTGCAGGGATGATGCGGCCTGGCCAGATGCTGTGGGAAGAGGGTTCCAGACGGGGTTCGGAGAGCAAAGGCGGTGCAGCCAGCCCGGGGCACGACACGCCCACCCTGAGCTGAAAGGGTTCTTAAGGGTTGGCGAATGAAAAGACAGTTGGCCGGGCCGGGAGGGGTTGGATCCTGAGTGCCCACGAGGCTGGATCGAGAAGTTCGGGCTTGATGTGGTGGGAGCCAGGAGTTGTGAGTTCTTGAAAAAAAAGATTTTTTGAATGTTTATTTATTTCGGAGACAGAGAGCATGGGTGGGGGAAGAGCAGAGAGAGAGGGAGACACAGAATCCCAAGCGGGCTCCAGGCTCCGAGCTGCCAGCACACAGCCCAATATGGGGCTCGATCTCCCAAACCGTGAGATCATGACCTAAGCCAAAGTCGGTCGCTCAACCGACTGAGCCACCCAGGCGCCCCAGGAGTTGTGAGTTCTTGAACAGAAGCGTTGTGTTCTGGCCAAAGGGGGTGTCTCTGTGCGAATGGCCGCTGGAGTGGCCAGACGGGGGAGCCTCGGTCGGGGATCGTGCTGTATCCGCTGGCGAGGTGTTGGGCACCTGCATTAGGGTAGGACACGTGGAGGTGATTTAGCAGGCGACAGCGGAGGGAGGTAAAGGGTAAATGAGCAGAGAGTGAGCCTGCCTCCCCCTCCCCGACATACACGCACACGCAGGTTCTAGGCGGGGGAGTCCGGGTGAATTGGGTTGTCCCTGGTGGGAAAGGGATCTGGTCTGGGGAAGAGAAGGAACTTGCGTTAGGTACAGGGGTTAGGGCTGTTTCAGTTCCCCTATTCCAGAGGGCAGATGGCAGGAAGAACTGTAGAGGGGACCTCAGGGCTGAAGCCTCTCTCTTCCCATGTGCTCCCCCACAGGCCCCCCGGTCATCGTGGTGCCCCCCAAGAACAGCACGGTCAATGCCTCCCAGGATGTTTCCTTGGCCTGCCGGGCTGAGGCGTACCCCACCAACCTCACTTATAGCTGGTTCCAGGACAGCGTCAACGTGTTCCACGTTAGGTGGGGCTTGGGGGTGGGCGGGGGACCCGTGGGCAGCCTTGGAGGAGTCCCCCGGCTCAGCGAGCCTGGACCCCTGCCCACACGTGCCACGTTGCAGCCGCCTGCAGCCCCGAGTGCGGATCCTGGTAGACGGGAGCCTGCGGCTGCTGGCCGCCCAGCCGGACGATGCGGGCCGCTACACCTGCGTGCCCAGCAACGGCCTCCGGCGCCCGCCCTCGGCCTCTGCCTACCTCACTGTGCTCTGTAAGCCTCACCCGGCTCCCTCCCCAAGCCTGCTCCCTCCCCCTGGGCCAGGCCAAGTTCCTGCCCCACAACCTGCCACTGCTTCCCCCACCAGACCCAGCGCAGGTGACAGCAATGCCTCCTGAGACCCCCCTGCCCGTAGGCATGCGGGGGGTGATCCGGTGCCCGGTCCGCGCCAACCCCCCACTGCTCTTTGTCAGCTGGACCAAGGATGGGCAGGCCCTGCAGCTGGACAAGGTACAGACCTCCGGGCGGGGGAGGGAAGGGTGTGGCTTGGTGTGATCCTGGGCAGGCCAGCTGGGGTGGAGTTAGCTCAGTGTAATTCAAGTCCGTGACTAGG